TATATATATATATATATTACCTCTATTATTTAAAAAAAAAATGGTATTAATAATTCAAAAATAGTACATATATCATTAATCAATACATAAGACGTGAAACGCATGTGCTTACTACTAGTTAATATAATATCATTGTTGCTTAGCATAAACTAATTAACGGGGCTTAGTAGATCATTTTTATAACCTTAAAATTACTTTGATCGGTAGTCACAGTATGTTAATGTAGGCTATTAAACAAAGTCAATAACTAGTCTGATATATGAGAGATTGCATGATACATGTCGTCATGCAGAGATAAATTAAGAAAAATACGATTTGAATGGTTGAAGGTTCTTTGCGGATAGCAATGCAATTGCAGAAGAACTAGTTCGACGTTTGAAGAAATATTTTAAGTGAGTCTTTAAGCAATTAAGCTAAAGCAGGTACACATTTTGAAAAAATGTTTAAGCGAATCTGTAAGCTAAAGCATGTATACGTTTTTATTACTTCAAAAAAACAAAAAAGGACAAAGAGAAAGAAAACATCCCTCGATTATCGTAATCGACCTTTCTTTTCATTGACTCCCAATCCTCCTCGACATTTTCCAAAAAGAGTAAGCGTTAGGAAGTCTCATTATAAGAATGACTCTTTCTCTTAAAAAAAAAAAAAAAAAAAAAGGTTGAACCCCAACCTTAAGGGTCCCCCACCGCCCTTGCCTTAGAGCATCGTGAGGGAGGTAAATAGCAGGTTATGCCTCCAAGGGTACAGATTGAAAGACTGCTTGTACACTTGCACTAACCCAAGAGCCAAATCCATATTTCAGGATTCGAACCCTTGACGCGGCAGCCTCAAGCAAAGCTGGATTTCTCCACCCTCCTCTTTTACCACTTGAAGATGTGCCCTGAGGGTAGAATGACTCTTTCTCTCGGAACTACCTTGAGTCGCATCTGGGTTGAATCAAGAATAATTTTTAACATAGTACCGTTTGACCCTCATACTTTTCATTCCATTACATTTCATTTTCTCTTCTATTTTCAACCACACAACCTTTCAAAAAATAATATTACACGTAAATCGAAAATCTTTCTTTATTTTTCAACCACTCATTTTTAAAAAAAAAATCAACATTCCACCCATTTTCATTTCTAGAAAATGGGGGCCAAACGGGGGCTGAACTCGTAGTTTTATAGTGCCATGAACAATGTTTTAACCTTATTTTTAAAAATATTATGCAATTTTGACCAGCGGGTTAAAGTAAAAAGGACGTGGTGCATTAGTTTAACAACTATAAATTTTACATTAAATTTTTTAACTACTCCAATTTTAGGTCAGAAATGGTTGCACTTCAAAGTCAAGTCAGTGTAGTGGAGCTGGTTTCATTGCCATCCCAGTTCGATGTGACAACGCGCAAGTTTTTATTCTCTTAAAATTCAATTAATATTTCATCTTCATCTAATTAATTTTTTCTCTATCATCCCTTTATTTCTCCATAAATTAATATTTGGTCAAGTCTTTTTACTGCACCATTTGCAATTTTTTTTTTTCATTTTCACACAAAATTATGTATTTTTAATTATATTCATATATCTTCAGTTTTATAAAGCTGTTTTCAGAAAGAAAAAAAAAAGAATGTAAATTATTCGCAGTACATACTAATATAATTACACATGCAATGTCAACAATTTGTTAAGCTGCAAAGACATTCAGCCTTAAATGAACAAGAAATTGACATCAAAACTATTTTAATTATAAACAATTTATAATTTTAATTCACTGAAAAAATTATTAACTAGTAGATAGAAATTAAGAATTTGTTTACAATATTGGAAAACTCAGTATTTTCTATATTTTATTAACTTAATAAATTTATTTTTTATTGAGAGTCTAGGAAAATAAATAATAAATATTATAAACACAAAAAAAATACTCTTTCAACAAAAAATATTTAATGAAAAAATAATGAACAAAATAATTATCTAAAGTTAGGGTGTTAATAGGAACAATTGAGCTTACTCGGCTCGACCTATTGCACAAGTTGGCGTGAGCTCGCGAGCCAACTCATTTCAAAATTTTGTGTCTCGACTTGCAAGCCACTCATCCCTCCACACGATCTCATTGAAAATTTAATTTTTTAATCTTGTGAGCTAGCGAGCAAGCAACCAATCAACCTATTGAGCTCGCCTCACCTAATTTTGACATCCACATGGTGTGATTTCTTATTTCAATTAAGGACATTTTTATCTTTTCAACTACTTGTAATACACCAGATATCCATGAACTCTTGTGTAATATTTGTCGTGTTCAAACTTCAAAGAGTACTTTCCACGCCAACATCTAGAGAAGTTCAATTTAAAAACTAACTTCATTCCTCTCATCATCATCATATTTGCGTCAACAAAAGAAGACGGAATCTGATGCTTGATTACCATTTGAAGTCAAAGGACATTAGATATTTATTCGTGGGATAAGTCGAAAAGTAGGTAACTCAAGAGCATTTTGCTAAAAAATTGTCGGGGGAGCAATAGTTGGCATCTCTCCTGTGGATATCGTGGTGACTATTTTTCGTGATCAGTGGTCGTGGTCATGTCTTGTTTATTTGTCACATTAATATCTTAAATTTTTAATTATATTACCTTATCCTAGGAAATGCCTTTTCTTTTCTCCAATTATTTCCATACAAATATAAAATGACTAGGCAATAAATTGACCCTATCCAATTGCTATTTCAAGTACTTTTCATATTATAGGATAGATTGACTTTTCTTTTTATTTGTCCCAAATTATATGTCATCTCCTTGTTGAGAGTACAATTAATTTCTTAATTTTATAATATGTTCTTATTTAATGTATTTTGTAAGTTATCAATAAATATGAAATAATCATATTCAAAATCATTATTTAATCATAGGTTGTTAACCTCAAAATCATAAAGATACGTGGCCAACAAAATCTCGATCATCTACCCCACGTAGACACCTACACGTTGAAACACATCGTTATGAAGCAATAATTATCGATCGAGAAAAAGATCGATAATCATTTGCACTCCTTCAATCAAGTCAACGATCAAACAAGAGAAAATGAGTACAAGAAATGCAAAATGTGGATCTGGCTAAGGTTAGAATAATCTTATGTGTGAAACGGATTCACTATACATGGAGGAATGAAAATGGATCAAGCTTTAAGCCTATTGCTTGATTAAATAGTTCCAATCTAATTGATCATTGATATCTAGTCCGTCAACGTGGTACTCCCTTTGCTACGTGCACACAACATAATTTATAAATAAAACAAGGCTATATTAGATAAGTAAAATTTATATTTTCAATAATATTAATTATATATTTTTTATCTGTGTAAAAATAGAAGCAAGATTATCGTTTTTTAATTATATTTTTTACTCATTAACTTGGCACTTGTTTGATTTCTATTTCGAGGGAAATAATGTATTTTAAATAGTAGATTAATGGAAAATGTGTGGATAAAAATAAAATTAAATTTACGTGTAATATTATTTTATTAAAAAATATGCATTGAAAAATGAAATTTTGAAAAAATAATTTTTAGAAAAAGGGAAATCAAACGAAGAACAAGGAAGGATATTCTCCCAAGTAACAATCAGAAGCACTAATACTGCACAGAACGGAATGCAATCACAACCGACCAAGAACATACTCCACATGAATCCAAACGTTGCAATAAAGGAAAATCTCTGAATCCGAACACGTGGCAGAATCTGGTTCCAAAGATAGGTCCTACATAACGGTTTTTCAAGAAAACACATTGGAGGCGCCTCCTCAGGATTTTCGCGGCCTACCGTCTACTGTTTCGCTTTCCCATTCTTAACATTTAAGCTCCCAAAACGACGACGTCTTGTTACCTAACCCTGTTCCTAGTTTTCTTGAATACAAAGTAAAAGCGGTAGCTTTTTGTTAGATAAAGATATCTGGTCTCCTGGTTCAAAGGTCAGCAAATACATATGCGTATACATAAATCATATACATGTTTTTTGGAAGTTATATGTTTTGAGGTTCAGGATAAAGTATTTTGATTCTTAAATTCGGATAAACGGGTTCCTTGTTGATTTTTTATTTTTTATTTTTAAATTTAATTTCTTGGTTTTTCTTATTATTTAGATTTAAAAGTAAGAAGGTACTGATTATAATTCGGCGATTTATAGAATGGAAATGTTTTGGCTTCAAGAATCAATTTATCCCCTTATTTGATGTACTGTTGTGGGCTACTGCTTTAATGATTAATGATCTGCTTAATCTTTTAAAGGTCTTTTGATGAACTTTGAAATTTATATATGTTTATTTGTGTGTGTCCGGGGGTGCCTTCTTGCTCGTGCGTCTGCGAGAATCATATGTTTATTGGTAGTTTATCTTTTTTCTGTACAGACGGATCAAGATAAATATAATAGTTGAAAAGTCATATATTTTGAATATAGTCCGTCAGGTTACTATCTTGAAGGCAATAATTTTATTCTAAATCAGGGTTCTGTAGTGAATGATAGGTTATATACAGCATTTGAAGGATTGCCCTCCGTTTGTTATATATAGGAAGGTTACCGATTGAGTTTTAGATCTTTAATGTTTCCGTTTTTTGTTTTATGCCTATTTTTGAAGTTTGAATTAGAGATCTTTTTTTAGAATTTATTTGGTTGTGTTTTCTCACAATCAATGGAGGTCCAGAGTTGTTTAATCTTGATTCATGCTCTAAAGAGTACAATATTTCTGATTATGTTTCTTTTAACAGTTAGAAGGTGTTTTTGTGAATGAATTACATTTAAGATTTGAGAAAGTTAAATGTTTCTGTCTCAACGTTAGGATGAGTTCAGAGAGTCAATAATATCTTGTTATATCTTTCCTATGGACTCTATAGTTCTTTTAGTATATTTATGTAAACAATTTGGCAGCCGTTTCATGTAATGCATAACAAATGCAAACTTCGATTTCTGTTCAATTCAAATGGCTTTATTTATCATTTCATTTGCTACAATATTCAAATTACAAATATGAAATGTGTTTCCTGTGTTTCTAGCAGGAGGATATTTCTATCCACTATTACAGCCAGCCTGCAAGAGGATATTTTGGTACAGGAAAAGTTTTGGTTAAATTATTCCAAAGGGTCTTTACATCTTTTATAAGAAGATGACCTCGCAAGAGCTTGATCCAGATGTTGTTCGGTGGGGCCTTCACCTTATAGATTGCTCTCCAACGCGTGGTGGTTCTCCTAAAACTATCACTTTTTATGACAAGGACATGTCTCGAATTGAGCATGTGGAGGAAGGTTATTGTGAAGCAAGAGACTCCGCTGCAGATAACGATAAAGTGATTGCTCATGCTCTTCAGGAAGAGTTATCAAGACTTCGAACTGCTGAGGCATCGGGATCCACATGTGCTGAAAATCAAGATCAGCAAGCCTCTATTCTTGCTCAGGATTGGTTTGGTTCTTCAAGAAAGCATTTTGATGGTATGGGTGAAGCGCCAGATTTCATTTTGTTTGATATGTATGATTTTCCTTCCTTTTCAGTTTATTTACCTCATCTGCAGATGGAGCAGGAATGGTTCCTGACAACCGTGGGGAATTATTTGCCACGGGTGAGGAGCAGGAAATCTTTCTTGAGATAGAAGATGAATCGACCCTTGATGGTGAATGGGGCAGAAGGCTGAATGAGATGGTTCCTGTACCTGTAAGTTTACATTATTCTGATTAATGAGAAAAGCTCGTCAAGATAATTAAACTTATCTTGTTGCTGTAATTGCAGATTATTTCCCTTGCACTGTCTTTTTCAGCGTTCATGTTATTGCACCTCGACTCATTATAATTAGTTGTGGTTCTTATTCTAGAAATAATAATGAAGTTGGTTTTACTATTTGCTTGTTTTGATTGCAGCATGTTCCTAAAATTAATGGAGAAATTCCATCAGCTGAAGATGCCATGTCAGATCATGAAAGGCTGCTCGCCAGGTCTTGTGCATTATCATCTCTTTTTCATTTTGTTGATAAGCTGTTTTGTAGATTGCTACTTGTTTTGTGGGCTTTTCCGATCACTGGTTTATAGTTATATACAGTAGGATTCCATTATGTGCCATCTTATTAAGGTTGAACATAATTTTAATTTGATAGGGAACAAATGTTAAAAGACTTATCATTTTTTTTTCTATAAATAATATACAAAGATCTTATAATTAATGGATGTAAACTAGGAGCTTCTACTCGCAAGTGTCTTTTGACCCTAGTCCACATCGGAGTACAAATTGGTGAGAAGTTCAGAGATAAAATATTCTTGGCATTTCTTTTCTACTTTTACTAAATTCTCTTAAATAGTCATTTCCAGTTTTGTCAATGAAGAACTTATAAAACTGATTTTTGGGTGATGTTTACTGTGTTCTATAGAGTTTTATCCTAAAATTTCGTTTCTTTTTCTATTTTCTCTATATGTCTGTTTATTTTGACTGACGATCACTTTCACATTAACTGTAATGTATTTACTCTATTATTTTATATTCAACAGATTGAAGTTATATGACCTGGTTGAACTACAAATTTCAGGGGATGGTAATTGCCAGGTTGGTTCTTGCACATTCTCACTGGACCCAAATTTTATAAGTTACAATATACATCTTTTCCATTTAGAAGGCAGTTGTAGTTGACAGTTTATATCTAAATATATATTTTTAGTTCGAGGGACGGGGTGATTTCTACCTCTTAGTATATCTAACTATTGTTTTGTGTTACTTGTTGCTCCGGCTTACTATTCTAGCTGTCTTTCCGCAGTTTAGTTCATTATCAGATCAAGTATATCATACTCCCGACCACCATAAATTAGTGAGAGAACAAGTTGTCAACCAGGTATGTGAGTGTTTTGATTGGGAACAAGATAACTTGGCATCTAATTCTTTTCATTCTTGGCAATATAAGACATCTATTCACATTGTAATTTTCATTGTTTCTACTTGCCAACCATAAGCTGAAATCATATCGAGAGCTGTATGAAAATTATGTTCCCATGGCTTATGACGACTACTTGAAGCAAATGAGCAAGTACAGTACCATTTAAATTTATTGAATCTTTCTTGGCATTTACGCTTCTGCTAAAGTAGATTGTATTTACTTATATAATCAATTTCGCATTATTATAGGGCAGGGGAATGGGGGGATCATGTCACGTTGCAGGCTGCTGCAGACACGGTATGAGTTTTCCATCCCTTTTATCTCGTGTTTCTTAAGACATCCTCTTGTTTACAAGTGAAACACAGACAGAATTAGCTTGAGCAAGTGATATTATCCACTTTAGAGCTTAGTTAAAATGATTGTTCCCTTCTTATCCTCTCGGCAAAGCAATCTGGCTTTCAGTTTCACGTTTTTACTCCCCTATATACTCTTTTTCCACACTCCACATCAAATTTTTATTACAGGAAGTCAGTGATCTATTTTTTTCAATTGTTGCTATCTTGCATGATAAATTTCTGATTTACGGTAGGCTAATAACTAGTAAATGGTTCTTATTTGGTGGCAGTATGGTGTCAAGATATTTGTCATTACTTCGTTTAGGGATACCTGCTATATTGAGATTCTTCCACAAACTCTGAAGTCAAACAGAAGTAAGTTTATTTATTTATTTATTTAATTTTTTTTTTTTTTTTTTTTTTTTTTTTTTTTTTTTTTTTTTTTTTTTTTTTTTTTTTTTTTTTTTTTTTTTTTTTTTTTTTTTTTTTTTTTTTTTTTTTTTTTTTTTATAGAATTTCCTGTAGTAGAGAGCAAGAAAAAGAAGAAGTGGTGGAAGCCCTGATATAGATATTAGCTTTGCCTTGTACATATCAGTTCTGGTGATATTCATATATTATATTCTTTTATTGTATATTGATGTGTATATTAGTTTTAGCCGGTGTACATTTTCGAATTTAGATGATTTTGTTTTGGAATTGTTTGAATTATAAATAATAAAAATGAAGGCGGATATGTGAATAGTACTTGTGGATCTCTTGAAATGTGTAGATGAAAAGTGGGTTGAATGAGACTCCTCAGAATTAGTCCATTCCAATGAGTTGAGCATTTGATTTGACAAAACATCATTGAAATTTTGAACCGGTAAAAGATCTCATGAAGATTTCGAGGGACCAATACAATTTATCATCCCAGTATGTGATTGTCATGCATTCTTTGTATTGCAATCAAGAATTCATAAACTAATTTGAGATCGAAGAAAGCTAAAAATACATGCGTCTTTCACTAGTGTACATATTATCTCCTCCAAAATACCTACCAAGACAATTTCACACGAAAAGATCAACTTAAGTTCTCGATAATTTTAGAGACGGCTGAATAGGTACCGAAACCTGATGCTATGACTCCAAGTACAATGATCAAGATACAAACAGAGCCCTATGGAAAATGAAACAGAAGTATTAGGAAATAATAAATAAGAGTTGAAATTTGCAAACGATAGAACTTGGTTTCACCTGAAAGAGATTTATTTTACCCCTTAAGATGCTGAGGTAACATGCACATGGAAGAATCAACGTCTATAAGAGAAACTTTGCTTAGTACAAACTTCGCATCCATACATGGAACAACAACGTTAATTTGATAGGCATTGTAAAACACTTACAACTAGCATTGTGAGTAAAGATCCAATGAATGCCATCACCAGACCTGTTTAACAAAAATGATCGTGTATTAAAGAACAAGGACAAGGAGAAACTTCGTCCTCGAACATAAACCAGCTAAATATTTCGAGAGATATTCTTAGTTGAGAAGAAATACAAAGATTGGACGACAAAAGCTTACCGAAGAAGGGGATGCTGAGAGCAACAAGCAATGTAGACATTACCAATGCAGTTCTTATGAGTATAGAATATATACGAGACTTTTTGTGGTTTGATAGTATCAATTCTTCCAGACTCATTGCCACTGGAGACATTGTTAATGCATATGTATATATCTAATTAAGGAAGAAACTGTTCTCTTTCTATGATTCCAGCTATTGATCTAAAGCTGTTGTTTTTTTTTTTTAATCAGTTTCTCATCAAAAGCATTATGAAAAAGGAAAATGCTATACCCTTAACATATTCGAACGTGTTAAATCAGTAGAAGGATATTTTGTAAATGGATTGACTACCTGCAAAAGAACAAGCAGAAACAAAAGTTAAAAGCATGAGTTTTATAACAGAATTCAGATATAGATACACTTCACTTTGTTTAGTGCATGCTTGGTACGAGGTAATGAACATGATTGGACATTAATAAAAATGAAAAATTAACTAAAATCTTGTTTATACTACTATCTAGCCCCGTTTACTACAACTTGTCAAACATTAATGTGAAGTAACAATAAGAAGAAAACTCTCCCGCAGGAATTTCTTGACTTACTGTGGTCCAAACAGCAATTTTTGATGCAACTAAATCTTGAGGCATGTTGAGGGTGAATTGTGACTCTGTTGATTCTCCAAACATCATGTATCCCAATATAGCAACTCCGGTATACAGCAACGTAGAGATGCCAAAACTGCATTGGTTATTGACCCGGGTTTAAAATAGCGCCTAGATATAATTTAGAGTGCACTCGAGAGAATTTACGGAGAAAAAGAAATTAAAAATCTGAAATGTACTATGTATCGAACATGTCCTCAGCGTTTGGGTTTACCTTGTCAGGAGGACCGCAGGATACTGGTTAGGTTTTTCCATTGAGGTATAGATATTAGGAAAAACAGCATGCCCCGAGTAGCAATAACCATAGAGACCTATAGAAACCGGGAGAGTGGAAAGGTTCAGCATTGTCCCGTTCGTCTGAAAGCCAATTTTATCCACTAAACCAACCCAGAACAAGCAAGCAACCACCAACACCGATGCAATGACTCCTCCAGCTGAAAATATTGAATACCCTTTTAAACAAATGATGTGTGTTTGGTATGCAGTATTGGATTGAATTGAATAGTATAATGGTCAATATTTAACTTCTTTTTATGATCACCTAAATGTGAGCAGACTCACCGGATATATAGCTGAGAATACTCAGGTCACGCAACCAAACAGTAGGAAGAATGGCCAGGGCGGTCATCAATGCAAAGAAATGATGAGAGTTTAATTCGAATCCTCCAATGCTTAAATGTACATTTGGAAATAAAGATGACAAGTTATCGCTCTCCAAAATAATGAATTCAATGCAACAAGCCTGCAACAGATTTAGAAATCAGGGGCCAGACATATAATATGAGAAATTGATTAATGAGTTCAAAATAATTAATGTGTGCTGGATGTTCAATTCAGGAATTGGGAAGAACACTTACATATAACTCCACGTATAAAATTATCTGCATAGTAAAATACGACAGAAAAGAATGTGTTAGAAAGTAGTTAATGCTCATTGATTTTCTCTTAATTTGATAAGTACAATAGGGTCTTAATCATCAATAATATTTATTACAGAAAATAAGGAAGTGAACAATTAAATTCTGAAATTTGATGTAATTCTAAATGACGAAAAAATATTGAGGAAGCAAGACTTACAGATATTGCAATTCGCCCCACTTTACCGAATGCAGCCTGGCCGATGTCTGGGTACGTTTCAATTCCCGGTTGGCTGTCCAAGCAGTATCTTAAGAGAATTCCAGTGTAGTAAGAAAGCACAGCGAAAGTCAGCAGTACAGAAATCCCGAGCCACCCTCCTTCTTTGACAGCATATGGAGTAGAAAAGACTCCAACTCCACATAGAACATTCATGCCTGTGTAAAATCATCGTATGTCAAAACTATATTATAATAGTTTATTGAGAAAGTTGAACTGTATAGCAATAAACAATAATGCGAGAGTAAATGATTATAAAACTTCGTCCTTTTGGCATCCTGTCTGTGTCCAATGCTGCGTACCAAGATTTGTATTGAAGTAAGTACGAAATCCAGATCAAAATAACATACCATTTAACACAGCTTGACCGTATGAGCTCTGGCGAGAAATTGGAAGTTCATCAGAGACCTTGGCCTCTTTCTCATCGAGACTCCCTTTTTTTATTCCTGACTTCTTTGACGGTATAGGTGGCAATAGAGAATGCGAACTACGCCTTTGTGGTGGAAATTTCTCATCCTCCACTTCAGATAAGAGAGGTTTGCCCAGAGAAGGTAATATCTCTGGAGTGCGTCTCCTCGTAAGGGATGAGGAAAGGTATGAACTTTTAGGCAAAGATGGTGTCCCGAGAAAATTAAGACTTGGAGATGGAACACTACTGTATAGATCAATTGATTGCCTGCAAAAAATTATTTACAACATAGAAATCATGAAAATATAGCACAAACAGACAAGAAAATACAGTATACGTATAAGAACTGTATATGTATGCGTGTACGTCATATGACTTGATGTCAAATACCATGACCCTCCTCCTTTCCTTGGGCTTGGGACCGTGCACGTGTGTGTGTGTATAAGCATTAAGCATACCTGTAACTTTGAGGCCAAGAGGTATTGTATGAATTGGGCTTGCTTTGGTGGCTATTCTTATTATCATTGGAGTAATTGGAGAAATCGGAATCATTCCCATCTTGTTCATCTCCACCTGCATCATATGGCTTCTCCTCATGATCCTCTTCGTCACTTTCAATGTACAAGCTCTGTTCGGATACTGATTTCTTCATTTGCTTTCTTTCTTCAAAATTACCAAAATAAAAGGAAGATCAAGAAAATTACCTAGAGAGGAGCAAAAATAAAACTGAAAAATCATCAATGTCCACATGCAATGATGCAAATATATTGAGATTGGCATTTCAATCAAATAAAGAAAAAATGTAGATTGTTTGTCCGCAAAGATGGTGGCTGTATATAGCACGAGAATAATTCTATTCACTTCACATATGAACTGATGTACACAGACACTCTATGAGTTTGATTGTGAGTGTATCCGGGAGAGAGAGGGAGAGATTAGTTTCTATAGAGCTTCCAAAATTTAAGACAAGAACCTGGCTTTTCTTATTGGAGTCTGGCCAAAAAGCATATACCTTTATAAGAGTTAATTGTTTCAATAGTCATTGAACTTAGATTCATGTATTTGAAAGGTCACTAAAGTTTAAAATATCAAGTTTTGGTCACTGAACTTTGAAAAATATATATGTTTTTGTAGATTTTGATAAAAATTGATGAAGTGTATTGTTGAAAAATCGATAAAAGTTGTAAGTTTCATAAAATGTATAGTTAAAATTAATTATTAACTTTTGATTTAAATTTTTAACTAAACCAAACATAATTCAAAATTTTGATTAGTGGATTAAAAGATAGAGAGGCATTACTATGCTTACAAAGAATGTTTAGGATGAGGACAGTCAATAAGTTTCCACAAATTAGTTTAAACTCCCGAAATGCAGTCTAGATAGCGAGCCCTCCCCTTTCTATCTTGGTTGGCTCGAAGAAGGGTCAACCTCCCCCGGAGCATGATTCACAGCGTTATAGTGGAAGCGAGCCCTCGAACTACTTAATTGTGGTGTGATTTTGTGTACCTTCTTCATTTTGAGGGGTAAAACTCGACATTTCTACATTCCTGCAATACACTCCAACCCTTCCTTCCCCATCTAATTTCTCACTCGCATTGGCAATTGAGCATTGGGGGAGGCAAGGAGCTTACTAAGGACCAAAAAACCAGCAGTTGCGGCCTAGTCTAGAACTTGGCAGGGATTTCCCACTTAATCGGGTTTGTGGGGCAAGGGGCATGGATGGACCAATAGGGAAATGAGTTGGAGAAAGAGAATATTGTTTCTTTTTTATTGAAGTTTATAATCATGTCTATGGGGGGCAAAAAAAAAAAGGACCATTTAACTGTTTTATGTGGACAGAAATCGTCCGTTGGGGACTAAACTGCCATAGAATATAAAAATTCTGTACTTAAATGCTAAATTTTAATTATTAGGGATCCATTTACTACAAAGACCATAGATTATGGAGCTTCAATGCAATTTCCTTAAAAAAAATTTATCAAAAAAAAAAAAAAATTCTTGTATTTATTTGCTGTTTCTATTGAAAAATAGATTTCTTCGATCATCCCTTTTTTGTTTCAAAAGAATTTTTGGTTCGTGCTTGGATAATAAACAAACTAATTTTCTTTTTGTCTACTTTTTCAATTATTATACAGTACAATTCATTCCAAATCAAAGATGGCATAATTTCAAAAGCAAACTGGAAATTGTAAAATTTTATCACTTCAATCAGTGGAAAGATTATTGACCCCCCTCTAACCCATTAAGTCTTAGCAAATCATTGCTTCCAAGAGACAATTTATAAAATAATAATAATAATAATAATAATAATAATAATAATAATAATAATAATAATAATAATATAATTATTGGCCACTTGCTAGGCAACTTGTTCATGGTTTAGTCATATTCTTGATAGAGACATAGCCAGCCACATAGTATAGTATCATTTTCACATCCCAATGTCCAACATGAATCCTATGGTCAGAATATTAAAAGACTCGATCCAACTATCTTATTGGAGACAACATTAAAGTTAATGCGACTATAAAGGTTGAACCCCAAGCTTGAGAATCTCCTCCTCCCCTCCCCTCCCTTCCCCTAGAGCATCATAAGGAAGGTAAATCGCGGGATGTGTCTCAGCAGACCAAGGAACAAGAGTTTGCTCGTACACTGATACCCACAAAAAGTTCAATTTCATATCTCAAGAATCGAACCATCACACTGCGACCGCCAGCAAGGTTGATACTACCTCACTCCTATCTTTTGCACCACTGCATTATGCTCCGGGTGGCTTCAAGGTTAATGCGACTATGATTGGAGAAACAACCCTACTCTGTATACTATGATTATGTAATAAAAGTGAAAAACAATATAGTGAATATAGTCCAAATTAAAATTGAATATATTCACTGTCATAAGTTAAATGTGTTACTGTGTATAATAACTTTTTTCTTGATTTAGTACAAATTTTTGTACGTGTATACATAATTAATAGTAGAAAACATTCGCTTACAAAGTTTATTAGTACAAGAATTAACAAATTTTTGGTATAAAATTATAGAGAACATGTACTATTGTTAAATGGATTGAGTCGAGTTGAAGTGAGCTGTGCAATGATTCGACCATGCCAGTCGCTCATCAACCCAAAGGTCGTTGACTCGTGCACAAGACAGAGAAATATATATATACAATTTTTTGTCATATATATAGATATATATAGAGCTAGCTCGACTCATTCCACCAAGGGGTAAACTAGTGATGCAAGTCGAGCTGAACTTTTTTTTGAGCAAGCATAGTTGAGCCCATCGTTAGACAAGTCGAGCAGTTGTCTCATCTCATTTAGCACCCCTAATAACTTTATAGAAGAGTGGACGAGATTTGACCCTATTTAATCCAATAATTTTTATCTCACATACCAGTTATGCCAATAGGAAATTTTAACAAAATTTCCACTCTGGCCCTCCCCTCGACTCTTATTTTCTATTATTAATTTTTATAAGGCTAAATTTAAATTGTATTTAAAAAGATAAAAATAAATATGTAAACAGCCGGTAAATGTAGATAACTAAATCTCTGCAACGGCCCATTTCTAGAAAATCCTTGGCGGGATAGGATATGAGTAGGCCAAGGTCCAAGAAATTTTTTTTTAAAGGCATTTTTCTTTTTGTAAAAATAGTTTTTTATGTGTAAATTTATTTTTTTTGGAGTATTAACCCAACTTGAAATTTTATAATCCAGTCTTGGATCTAATCTTGAATCCACCCCTGTGAGTAGGGATTGGTCCTGGCCATCTATAATTCCCGAAACTTCTATAGAATGGTGATATCATTGATATATATATGATAGTAGGATTTCTATCATATTGTCCATTAAATAAAAACATATTCTAACTTCGTTTGACAATGTGACAGTGGCTCCACTTCCAAATAGACTAATGATGATCACCATGCTGTATTCTATGTGAGCGGGGTATTTTCATCTATTTAGCTATTGATAATGGCAAACGTATAAATATTTCTATCTTTTTTGCAGAATATGTTTGTTACCAAAAACTAAATACTACACGCAATATGTAAATTTGTAAAATATGGTATGGAAATTACAAGACATATATTTTGGTAAAGTTTTTTTTATTCAAAATAATAAACTCTATTTTTGATCAATTGCAATGGATGTCTTCAACCTATGTGAGTAATGTATCATTTAGTCCACAAACTTTATTTTTTGGTACACGAATCTCCAACGTGAAATTTATATATCACTTGAGTCCCTTATAAATGATTACCACCGCTTGACAGTTAAAAAAGTCACTAACTCATATTATTTGCTCCTTGAGGATCTAAGTGCGCAAACTTTGTCGAGTACCCAAATGCTATATTGATAATAGGTTGGGAACCTCCGCCTTTATTTTCGACTTCTTTAAAGAGCAATTATTGGAAAAGACACATTTCTCACATCAATAGATGTAAATATCACTTGTCTTTTGTCCCATTAAAAAAACAAATAAATGAAACCTCGTTTTCACTTCATCGGCATCAATGAATCTTCAATTTTACATAGAAAATGATTATCGAAAAAATAAATATAATAAGTTTCATTCAAACAATTAAGGAAAAAAAATCTTGTTGTGATTGGATTCTGTGTATTAAACATAAAAATAGTTGAAAAGCATGACAAAAAGTATTTTTTTTTCAACAATTTGATTCAACCACGAGTATCAATTTTGATATAAATGCCAAATCTTCAAGAATAATTTAACATGATAATTTGGATAACGTAAATACCATTAGTATGAACTATGAACCCTTTGGACGTACCTAAGTTTTTTCAAATGGAATACTAATGATATTAAAGTTGTCTGGGAACATCATCATAGAATTCATGGAATGCCCTGACGAATTATTTTAGGTGTCTTATTATCAACAAGCATTTATCGTTACGTAACTTGATGTCGACATATAGCTTGAAAAAAGAAAATGTTGATTTATAAATTAATAAATAAATAAACCCACTAAAAAAAACAAGTTTTGTTGTTCGGGTGTTTGGACTAAACACTAAACTATGCCAATTGACAAGATTTTAAAATATGTAGCGTTGATTAAAAAAAAAAAAGTATATATATATATATATACACATACTTGTTTTCGAAAAGAGTTTTTTATTTATGGTACTATAGATTAATGTTATTTCATGGTTTTTTTGACTCAAATTAGGTTGGATTTTTGACCCAATACTATTTTCTTTATTGGAGATTTTTTTTCCTTTATCTCACGTGATTTTTAATCTTGTTTTCATTTTTGTAGTATTTCTAGGCGTTGGCATTCAATCTTATAAATACTAGACTATTTTCAAAAGTTTTGTATTAATGAAATATAAAATAATTGTGTAGGCACAATTATTATATTTGTTTTCCCATATTAATCAATTGAATAAAATGCTCATTTCCTCTGCCAATTAATTATTTGCCCTTTATCTTTTATTTGTTTACGATCATATAATTCTTCGTATCATATATATTTTACCTTGATCCATTTTATTTCCCAACAAGTGGTATCAGAGCTATTAGTTGTAATTTGTTCGAAAATTTTGTAATTAATGGTAGTCATGAAGTATAAAATTCCGCTCTTGGATCACAATACAAGATTCTTATTTTGGCAAGTGAAGAAGCGAGTTGTACTTGTGCAGATGGATTTGGATGATATGCTGTTGAGATTTGACAAAACGCTTACAATTTGGATGACGAAGGAGAAATAACGGAAGGATCAGACGACATTTTCACAAATCCATCTCTTCTTTCTAACAATATTCTTTATGATATTTTAAAGGAGAAGATGACAGCTATGTTGTGATTGAAATTGGAGCAATTGTGCATGACTAAAAATCTGACAAGTAAATTGCATCTGATTAAAAGTTTTGAGATGCGATCTTGTATAGTCACGATACTCTCACAATTGAAGATGCGTATGATGCTTTGTTTTCAAAAGAGAA